GCAGCCAGGGGGTTGGCGGCAGGGGAAACCACCAAGCGGGAGGTAGGGGTCAAGGTCCCCCGTCAAACCGTCCTCGTTCCAATCGATCGCCTCCCAGAGGGGGTGGTTGGCACCCTGGTCGGCCTGAGGGACGGCCCTGGGAATCGCTGCGTCTCGAGCAAACAGATTGGCAGAAAAGGATAGATGCGGGTCAGTTCATCTTTTGCACCGACCCTGGGCATAGCATCAAATTTTGCCCAAAATATAGGAGTGTCTGGCGAGCTGCTGCAGAGTCGGCGAAAGGCAACTGTCGGCAGGGGTAGCAACTGCCCTTACCTCTAGGCCATGTGGAGATGAGTGTGCGTGCCAAATAGATACTCCACTCCACGTGAGCCTATGGCAGAGGTTGCTGGCCAGCGCCTAGTCAGTTGTCCAGAGACTGCGTGTGTTAGAGTCTCTCTAGGCGCTTCCCTCACATGACTAACAGAAGAGCTAAAGGAGAGAATGTCAGTCTGGGCCGAGATGAAGAAAAAAGAAAAAGGGCAGCTATTGTTAATATGTAGAGATTTTTAGAGGCAGGGTAGGGGCCCTTATAGACAGTGGGGCCACTCGTAGCTATATTAGCCGCAAAGCGTTGAAGAAGCTTAAGCTTGGCTTGAAAGTCCAAAAGCTAAAGGAGCCCATAGTCAGTATCCTCAGAGACAATCGCACAATGCGAATCGAGGATTATGTTGTGGGAGTCCAGGCATATTTTCGCCTAGAGGCAGATGGGAAAGTCTCCATTCGCCGACTCTCCTCGTCGAGGACATGATATGGTTCTAGGAATGGATTGGGGAGAGGCAGCAAGAGCCACACTACATTTGCGAGAGCATGAGTGTAGGCTTCCTAGTCCTTCAGGTGGCGTCAAGATGGCCCGCATGATCCATGTGTCAGGAGTAGATAACTCCCTGGCAAATTGCTGCCTCAATGCCCCTGTGTTCGCGCGATTTGTGAATAAGGAGCAGTTAGAAGAGCATGTTTTCGTAGCCTATGTTATGTCTGTCACTAAGCCTAAGAAAGAGGAACCGACCAGCCGCATAATCGCCAAGTTGATGGAAGAGTACGCAGATCTATTAGAACCTCCCTCAGGAGTAGTACCATGTCCCATCCAGCACCGTACTGAGATAAAGCCTAGCAATAAGACTCCCAAAGGAGCAGTCTATAAAATGTCTCGTAAGGAGTTAGAGGAGTAGCGCAAGCAGTTAGATGAGCTCCTCGAGAAAGGTTAGATTAGGCCCACTTCGTCTCCATTTGGAGCACCTGTTCTCTTTGTCCCCAAGAAAGAGGGAGAGTTGAGAATGTGCATTGACTATAGGGGTCTCAACGTCGTTACGGTCAAAAATGCAGAACCGCTGCCCCGAATATATGACTTGTTAGATCGGGTGCAGGGCTGCAAGTACTTCACAAGGATAGGTTTGAAGTCAGGGAACCATCAGATTGAGGTCCACCCTGATGATCAATACAAAACGACGTTCAGGACTAGATACAGACGTTATGAGTTTATGGTTATGCCCTTTGGACTAACTAACGCAGCGACCACTTTCCAACGTTGTATGAACAATTTGTTTAGGCCGTGGTTAGATAGATTCGTAGTCGTTTACTCAGGCGATATTTTGATTTTTAGTAAGACCCTCCACGAGCATGAGGCTCATCTGAGGCAGATCTTGGAGAAGTTGCATGAGGCAAACTTCAAGATCAATGTGAAAAAGTGTGGGTGGGTCAAGACCGAAATCTTGTACTTGGGCCACGTCTTAGATGGTGATCGTATCAAACCTGAGGACAATGATCGCAGCTGGCCAACACCACGTACACTCACAAAGTTGAGATCGTTCCTAGGATTGGCTAATTACTACAGGAAGTTCGTTAGAAACTTCTCCACTATCGTTGCTCCCCTTCGCAGGTTGCTAAAGAAAGAAGCAATCTGGGAGTGGGACCAAGATTGTACTTCGGCCTTGAAAATTTTGAAACGGGCCTTGATACAGTACTCAACCCTCAAGTAGTTGATCCATCCTTACCTTTTGTCGTTACTACTGATGCAAGTCAGTACGGTATTGGTGCTGTTTTACAGCAAGATGATGGCAATGGGTATAAACCCGTAGAGTTCATGTCCGCTAGATTGCCTTCAGAGAAGGTAGTGACATCAACTTACGAAAGAGAACTCTACGCTCTCAGGCAAGCTTTAGACCACTGGAGACACTACTTGCTTGGGAGACACTTCAAAGTCTACTCAGACCACGAGACACTTAGGTGGCTGAAGACTCAGGCCAAGATGACACCTAAGCTTACTAGTAGAAGAGCCGACTTTGAGCTCAAGCCCGTTAAAGGAAAGTATAATGTGGTTGCAAACTCTCTAAGCAGAAGAGCCAACTACTTTAGAGTTATAATTCACTATCTAGATATAGGGACAGACTAACAACAAAAAGTCATACATCCGTACGCGCAATACCCTATCTATAGCGACTTCCTAAAGAGAGTAAGGGAGAACCTGATTACCGCACACGAATGGATTATTGTTTGAGAAGATAGACGTCGTAGATCGGCTGTGCATTCCCAATAGTGAAGAGATCCGGAGTCTGATCTTGGGGGAATGCCACGATATAGAAGGGCACTTCGGCTGGCAAAAGACATTAGCCAACCTAAGGCGTGCCTACAAGTGGCCTGGCACGAAAGCTGACTGCATAGAGCATATGCGTAGTTGTAAGGTATGCCAGCATAACAAAACTACGACGCGAGCCCCATTTGGTCTTCTCGGACCATTGCCTATCCCTTCAGGTCCCGGAGAGTCTGTTTCCGTCGACTTTATGGATGTCGGGGTCAGGAGTAGGCATGGCAAGAGCCAAGTCATGGTCATAGTAGACCGTTTTAGCAAGTATGCGATTTTTGTTCCTTTGCCCTCTGAGGCACGCACAAAATTAGTCATAGAGAAGTTTTTTGATGCCTGGGTAAGTGAGCATGGTATTCCGCTATCTATAGTTAGCGATAGAGATACGCGGTTTACTAGCCAACACTGGCAGAACCTTATGCAAGTTTATGGCTCAAAGTTGTTCATGTCATTTGGTCGTCATCCAGAGACTAACGGTCAGACTGAAGAAATGAATAAGATCCTGCAGCAGATACTCAGGACGTATATTAGACCTGATCAGATAAACAGGGATGAGATGCTCCCTAAAGTAGCTAGCGCCTACAATAACAATGTCCATCTAGCTACTTGTCGAACTCCTAATGAGCTGCACAAGTCCTTTAGACCCCACAAACCATTTGGAGGACTGAATCACGACCAGATACAGAGACTGTAGCAGTACCCTTCGGCCCGGCAGTGAGGCCGGACCTGTTTCAGGCCGTCGGCCTGACCCCGGTCCGGTATTGGGTTACTCCGGCCTGGACCAAGGCCGGTATATCTCTCCGGCCTTGGCCCAGGCCGGGTTGGTCATTCATTCACTTGTTTGCTCATTCATTGGTCCGACAGGACCCTCACTCAGTTGCTGCTTCTGTATGTGTCCATCTTCTCTCTCTCTCTCTCTCTCTCTCTCTCTCTCTCTCTCTCTCTCTCACACACACACACACACACACACACACACACACACACACACACACAC